TTGAAGTGGTTAATTTTGCCTCAAATTCGCACACATTTAAAAACAGCTGATAGAGACAGCAAATAAAGCTTTTAAGCTTAAATTAAATCACAAGAAAAGTGTTGTAAACAAATCTATAAAAACTAAATAAATTGTGTAATTGTGTAATTAATATAGCTAAATAACTAACAAATGCTAAATAAATAAATACGCGAAAGGACGCTAAAAATATTTATTTATAAATTTTAAGGTAAAAATTTAAATTTAAATTTATATTATTAGTATAAATATACGCGCTAAAAATAGTATTAATTTAAAAATTAATATGACTGATGCTAATACCCCACCTCCTGGTGGTGGAAATAAAGAAAAAATGATCAAACTTGAAAAAGAAAATACAGAACTTCAGAATAAAATTAAAAAGCTTGAAAATTTATATTTATTATTATCCAATGAGTTAACTGCACTGAGAAGTGAAAACGAAAAATTAAAACCTTTTAAAAACGTACCAGAAATTGCAAAATATGAAACCGATGAGGAGGAACTTGCCAGAGAGACAGACTGGATCTTAAAAAAGAAAAGACCAACTAAAAAACGTAAGGCCGAATCCTCTCCTGAAGTATCTAGTCAAAGTAGACCTACTGTTAAAACAAATACTTGCCAAAGAGGACAAGCTGCCCCTAATAAAATTGCTCGACCTCCTCCTATTGTTATCAATGGCATAAATGATTTTAAAAAATTACATGCACAACTTATTGCAACTATAAAAAACAAGTTTTTTGTGAGACTTATAAATAATGGTTCATATAGAGTATCAATTTTTGACTCTTTTGACTATAGATCTGTCACAAAACTATTAAGTCACGAAAATATTTCCTGGTTCAGCTACGAAGACAAGCAAACTAGGCCAATAAAAGTTATTGTAAAAAATCTTCACCATTCGTGTGATCAAGAATCAATTATAAATGACTTAAACAACCAAGGTTTAAAAGCAATCGGTGCGATAAACAAACTCAAATGGAAGACTAAAGAACCGCTTGATATGTTCCTTTTGTCATTTGACTCAACCGAAGATGTGAAGAAAATCTATGAGATAAAAAGTATTCTTAACACAATTGTAAAGATTGAACCCATCAAACCGTCAAACTTAATTCCTCAATGTAAAAAATGTCAATCGTTCGGTCACACAAAAAATTTCTGTGGAAAACCTCCACGTTGTGTTAAATGCGCCGGCAAACATTTAACTTCGGAGTGCCAAAAGACAGTGTCCGATAAGCCTAAATGCTGCAACTGTGGCGAACCGCATCCAGCGAACTATCGTGGTTGTATAGTCGCTAAAGAATTACAAAAAATAAAATTAAAAAACAAAGCTGACAAAACTAAGGCTGACGAAAATAATCAAGTTGCTGTAACAAAAAGTAAATCCAAAATTACTGAACCTACTAGTGTTAGAACAGTCACTTACGCCCAAACTGTTAAGGGACCCATTCAAAGTACTGAGTCACAAAGCAACAACGCGTTGTCAATTATCTTAACAAAACTTAATCTACAAGAAGAGGTATTTAAAACGCTCGAACAACGTCTAAGCGTGCTAGAGCACAATATGCAATTTTTAGATTATGACTAATCGTTTGAAACTATTCTTATGGAATGCGAATGGCTTAACAAAACATAAAAATGAACTCGAAGTCGTATTAAATAGCGAAAACATTGATATCGGTTTAATCGCTGAAACTCATTTTACTAAGCAATCGCACATAACGTTTAAAAACTATATTCTATACCATACCATACATCCTGATAATTGCGCTAGGGGTGGCAGCGCTGTCATAATTAGAAACTCGATAAAACATCACTTACTAGAACAATATAGCACAATCGAATTTCAAGCTACTTCTGTTTCCGTGGAAACCTTTAATCAGCCGCTGGTCGTAACTGCATTATATAGTCCTCCCAGGCATCAGTTGAAGTGTGCAGACTACTTATCTCTCTTTAACCGGTTTCAAGGCCGTTTTATAATTGGAGGAGACTTCAATGCAAAAAATACGTTTTGGGGCTCAAGACTTAATACAACCAAAGGAAGAGAAATGTACAAAGCCATGCAACTCGCAGCTTGTAATTCAATTTCAACAGGTAAACCAACGTACTGGCCGTCGGATACTAGCAAAGTTCCAGACCTAATAGACTTCTTTGTCTACAAAAATATTCCAGCATCTCACCTAACCATCTCAGAAGGCTTCGACTTTAGCTCTGACCACTCACCAGTGCTGCTGATAGTTTCACAAAATCCAACAATAAACCAGAACACACTCAAGTTAGCAAATAAATTTACCGACTGGAAATATTTTCAGCTTCAGCTTGTACATTTGCACAAGTTTGATCATATTGTTAACAGCGAGCAACTAGATGACGCAGTACTTCATTTCACTCAGCAATTGCAGATGGCAGCGTGGAACAGTACACCAACACCAAAACTCCAAACTTTACATGGTAAAAAATACCCACCCTTCATCACAAAAAAGATTACGGAGAAGCGAAAATTGCGAAAACGTTGGCAAGCAACAAGATGTCCGTTAATTAAATCGCAACTAAACCGAGCAACTAAAAAGTTACGCACATCCATCAAATCATACAAAAATAATACCTTTAATAGTTTTCTGATGGGCCTCACGGCAGACAAAAAAAATGAATACTCTTTGTGGAAAGCTGCTAAATCATTTAACAGACCAATGCAGCAGTCTGCCCCAGTAAAAATAAACGAAACTCACTGGGCTAAAACAAATTCTCAAAAGGCGAACCTGTTTGCTGAACACCTAGAGAAAACCTTCAGTCCAAATGAAGGCCAAGATGTTATTGGGTCAAGTACAAATTGGCCCGAAGGCGACGCTGCAATTGTTCCAGTCACTACGGAAGAAGTGAGAAAACAAATTTTGACAATGAAACTCAAAAAATCTCCTGGTTTTGACTTAATAACGGCTGAAGTTCTTCGGAACTTACCCAATAACTGCATCATCTACCTATGCGATTTAATTAATTCGTGCCTCCGTTTGAAACATGTACCCATTTTTTGGAAATTCGCTGAGGTAATTATGATACCCAAACCAGGGAAGTCTCCCAATGATGTATCCTCATATAGGCCAATATCTCTATTGCCAACCTTATCGAAGCTTTTTGAAAAACTACTACTAGCGCGTTTATCACCAATAATTGAGAGAAGACGCTTAATTCCGGATCATCAATTCGGCTTCAGAAAAAACCATTCAACCATCGACCAAATACATGTAGTCGTAAATGCCATTGAATCGGCGATGCAAGAGAAGAAAGTGTGTTGTGCCGTGTTCTTAGATGTATCACAAGCCTTCGATAAGGTTTGGCATGAAGGATTACTCCATAAACTTAAATCATTATTGCCTATACAATACTGTAAGCTGCTATCATCGTATCTAAACGACAGGTACTTCAGTGTTAAATATGAAGATGCACATTCAGCACTAAAGAAGATTAGCGCAGGCGTCCCGCAGGGGAGCATTCTTGGGCCCATTCTATATCTCCTGTATACACACGACTTACCCTCTGCAAACCAACTAGTTACAGCAACATTTGCAGACGATACTGCGGTTCTAGCAATCGAAAACAATATAGAAGACGCGACGGCTAATCTGCAACACACAGTCAATCAAATTGCTTCATGGGCAAAAAAATGGAGAATCAAGCTCAATAAGGAAAAATCAGTACATATAGTCTTCTCATTGAGAAATTATAACCATATTCCAATTCATATCGATGCCACAAAAATTCCACACGCCAACGAAGCCAAATATCTGGGCATTACGCTTGACGCCAAGCTGCGCTGGAAAGCGCATGTTAAGAAAAAACGAGAAGAGCTTGACCTAAAACTAAAGAAATTTTACCACCTCATAGGCAGGCGCTCTAAACTGGCAATCCACAACAAACTAATGGTCTACAATCAAATACTAAAGCCGGCTTGGAGTTATGGCATACAGTTCTGGGGTTGTGCCAGCAAGAAATACATTGCAACTATCCAGCGCTTTCAAAATAAAGTACTACGATGCATCGTAAATGCTCCATATTACATTAGAAACAGTGATCTCCACCGTGACCTTGACATACCAACAGTCGACGTCGTGGCAAAAAGGTGTGCCATTGCTCACAAACAGCGATTGAAAACACATGTCAACGTTACAGCATCCAGTCTTCTCCAGGTGGTTGCAGTATCTAGACGGCTAAAAAGGAAAACAGTGGCAGACTTAATGGACAGCGAGTAGCAAAATAGCTTCATTTTTTTTTTACATTAAATATTCAAATAAAATTGCTTATTAGTACCTTTTTTTTGTTATTTGTACTAGGTGCAATATTAAAACGATTTTTGTCTTTATTTGAAGAATCGTTAATAAATAAAAAAAAAAAAAAAAAAAAAAAAAACAGGAAATTTCGAAAGTACTTCCAAAAATCGTTCACAGTAGACGAATTTTTAGTCTTGGTAACCATGCAATTTGAGTTTCTTATTAGTTAAGCGATTTCAAAAAGGTTGGACTAAATAAACTAGCAGTATTGTTGTTTCATATGTTACTTTTAAAATAAGTGGTTCTTCCTTTGTAATATGCATGCTTACAAAAAAAAAAAGGCTTATAGATAATATTGTATTATAAATTATTTGTATGGGAGCTGAACACTGGTTTAGCAAGCCCGCACATGTATTACTTAATATCTATTAAGTACAATTCAGCATTAGTAATAAATTAACAAATAGTTAAGATATTACTACTCATATCCAATAAAAAAAAAAATAAAACAATCAATTTAACAAAAACACATCCTGTAAATAGATAAAGACAATGCAAAAAACCATGCTTATTTTGTGTATAATTATAAACAATTATAAAATTTTTTTTATAATTGTATATAATTATGAAATGGCATTTTTCAGCAAGTAAAATTCGTCAATTAAAAAAACCATCAGAACTTTATAGGATATCTAATACATAAATTATTTTGCTTACCGGTAGCTAGTAGACTGCATGATCCTAAAAATACAAAGTCTGACAGCATTTTGTTGTGGCAATGGTACGACTATAATCGAACGATTTAATGAAATTAATTATAAGATATGGTAGTATTTCTTACGAAAAACGAGCGATTACACTGAGAGGCTATTCCAGCTTGCCATAAACTTAAATTACCATCCCCATCGCCTACTCCAAATTTATTCCCTTGTTCGGAAAATCTGCAGCGTGTAACTTTTGCAAAAGTTCCTGAAGGTCTTGGAGTACAAATAGTTTGCTGATGACCGAATTCCCAAATTTGTACAGAACCATCTTGACCTCCAGTTAAATAAAGTGGCATAATGGGATGAGCACTCATTCTTTTTATATTATCCATCTTACGTTTCAACATCTGAAAATAAATATTGAGCTCAATAAGTTCTTAATATCGATTTTGCAAAAATAAATATTTTACTATTTGTTGCATTGAAATTACTTTCTGTTAATAATATGTTTGATTTTTATTTAAACTTTTCAATAAAAACAGATTTTCTTAAATTTCATTTAAACGTTTACAAAAGCGTCATATTTTATATTTTACTTACTAATGTAGTTCCACGTCCAGATTGCGATGAATTAATTGTAGATATATCAGATATTTTATTGGATCCAAAGGTCACTCTGTTACATAAAGAAATATTTTGCATGAATATTATAAAGAGCAAGTTTTAGTTAAAATACAGAAATAAAGGCCTTTCATTGTGTTATGATATTATGTTTACAAGTATCACTTTCTTAATATTTGGATGACATTAAAACTGATTTCAATACTTTAAGATATGTCACAAATTACAATTTTTAAGTTGATAGCATGAAAAATCACAAACTAATCACTGATACTTTAAGAAAGAATGAAATATTAATTTCTTGAATAATGACATATTTTGCTTACGGGTTTTTTGCACCGCTCTTGCTTAGCATAATAGTTGAAACAAATGTATGATTTGAATTTCGGCAGCAAATGCTTTGGTTTCAATGTTTTGTGACCATGAAGTTTTTACATTTTTACAATTTCTTAAACTAAATTAAATATCAAGTAGCATATTCATAAATATTTATAAAACAAGTTTAATAACACCTTTCTTGATAATTTTCCGTTACAATATTGTTGACACAAAGCATAAACATGACCAGTAATATATCTTCCCATGATAAGGTATTAGAAGACGTCAAAAGGTTTTTACCAACTTTCAATGGTAAACAGGAAGAACTAAGCGGATTCCTCCGACGACTCAGAAATGGCAACAATAAGGTACAGACTGAAAACAAACAAGACTTCATTGAATATATAGTAGATTGCAAGCTGCAACAGTCTGTTCGAGTTAGGATTTCGCCCGTAGGATTTCAACGACAAGATGACACGACTATTAACCAACCTAAACAATGCAACGTTACTAAAACAGAAGGTAAACGCAACATCTAGTGAAGGCGAGATGATATTACTTTGCAATGATGAACACGCTCCCTTAGCATACAAAAAAGGCCTAATTGCCCTATACTCTCAAAGTCTTTCCAAGAAGCTAGAAAAATGGCAGAAAGCTTAATGTTCTCCGAACAAAATCAACGTGTTTCACATTACCGTGGCAACAGACTGCCACAAAATAACTATCAGAGAAGAAATAATTCAAATTCTCTAGGTAGATATAATAATTATAATAACAAAAATAATCGTTTTAGAAATGATCAAAGAAATCAGTATAATATTAATAACAACAACAACTACAACCACGGAAATCAGAATAACAATAATGGTCAAAGAAACCAACGTAACAATACTGGCCAAAGAAACCGAAGTAATGGCCAAGCAAACTATAATAACATGCAAAGCAGCCAATACCAAAATAATTGTTATAGAAATACAAATCGTAGATACGTACGTGCGATGGACGCCCAGGAAAACTACGAACAACCAGAGGTGGAAATGGAGAACCCCCCACTGGTTCGAAATTAATTACTGTACAAATTTTAAATCAAACCCTGTCTAACTATTATATATTTCAATTTTCTGTTCTGAATTAAAAACTAATATAAGATTATTAATAGAAACTGGTGCCGAAGTGTCTATTATAAAAAACCTTAACGTTGACTATAACTCTCACAACCCGTATAAACTTACAGGTATAACGAGTGAACATATACTATCTCTATGAACATCCAAATTAACTTTACTTTTTGAAGGAATATGGATAATTTAAACTTTCGCAGTAGAAATAGAGAATTTTCCTTACGAGGTAGACGTAAGGAAGCAATCTATCAGAAGCAATAAGCAAAAGATGGTTTCAACGGTTCAGAAATAATGATTTTGATGTGAGAAATGAAGAACGTGGAAGACCGCCAAAAAAGTTTGAAGACGCCGAATTGCAAACGATATTGGATGGAGATGACACTTTGGGTCAAAAGCAAATGGCAGAAATGTTAAATGTTGCACAATAAACAATTTCTGACCGTTTAAAAGCCATGGGAAAGATCCAAAAGTGTGGAAAATGGGTGCCACATGAATTGAATGAAAGATGGAAAACCGAAAAAACACTTGTGAAATTTTGCTTCAAAGACACGAAAGAAAATCGGTTTTGCATCGGATTGTTACTGGCGATGAAAAATGGATTTATTTTAAGAATCCTAAACGGAAAAAATCATGGGTTAATCCGGGACAACCATCAACATCGACTGCAAAACCAGATCGATTCGACAAGAAGACAATGCTGTGTGTTTGGTGGGACCAGAAAGGTGTGGTGTACCACGATCTCCGAAAACCTGGTGAAACCGTCAATGCTGGTCGCTATGAACAACAAATGATAAATTTAAACCATGCATTGATCGAGAAACGACCAGAATGGGCCAAAAGACACGGCAAGGTAATTCTGGTCCATGACAATGCACCTGCACACAAAGCAAAACGGGTTCAGGATGCAATCAAAACACTTGGCTGAGAGCTGCTACCCCACCCGCCGTATTCACCAGACTTGGCTCCTTCCGACTACCATTTGTTTTCATCGATGGGACACGCATTGGCTGAGCAGCATTTTGATTCCTACGAGGAGGTCGAAAATTGGGTGTCTGGTTGGTTTGCTTTAAAAGACGAACAATTTTTTTGGCGTGGTATCCACAAATTGCCAGAAAGGTGGTCAAAATGTATAGAAAGCAATGGCCAATACTTTGAATAAAATGTTTTTTACTTTCCTATTAATAATTAGTGTTTTATTTTCACCAAAAAACGCTCATTTCATACCGGTACGCCTGATATATATATATTATTCTTTTACTTTAACCATGCAATCAGGCAATAAACAAGCAGAAACACCAATAGTATGCAAACCAATTACTATTGAAACAACAACGGAACGTGTCTTACCAGTAGATGTACACTTTGATGAAGATACCGTATTATTTAATAAAGAAATCAGTAAAGGTGTCTTCATGGCTAATACAATTGTACTAGCAAAAGGCAATTGTGACATAAGACATAAGAATTGTGAATACTAATGATCACAATTTTACTATAAATAAATTACAATTAAAGTTACAACCCTTACAATATTACATTCTGCAAACGAATAAGAGTAATATCAACAATGATAGACTACACAAAATTTTAGATGAATTGCAACGTTATTGCCCATAATATCCAAATACCAACATATTTAGATGAAGAACAGCTTTCTACACTAATTTCTATACACAAAAAATATAAACCGTGGATAACATCCCAACTTATATAAAAAACTATAATTTATCTCATTGCCATAACGACGACATCAACTCTCAAGTAAAAAAATTACTTGAACATGACACAATACAACCATCAAGAAGTCCATACAATTTACCTATACTTTTGGTACCTAAAAAATCAAGAAGCGACAGTAAAAATTGGCGTTTAGTAATAGACTACAGAAAACTTAACGAGAAAATCGTTAACTATAAGTTTGCCTTGACCTGCTTAGAGGATGCGTTAAAACTGACGCCGTTAAATATAAAGTAATTGAAGATTACCCACGACCAATGAATATCGATGACGTGAGAAGATATATTGCATTTTGCAATTATTACAGGCGTTTCATATGTAACTTCGCTGACATACGTAGCTAAGCCACTGAACTTGCTCCTCAAGAAAAACTAAAAGTTTGAATGGTCTAAGGAATGCGACACACTTAAGTATAAACTATTAAATCCACCAATACTACTTTACCCTGATTTTAACAAACCATTCATCATAACTACTGACGCATCAGACTTTGCGCTAGGTGCTGTTCTTTCACAAGGAAATATAGGCTCTGAATTTTCTATTTGTTATGCTAGTAAAGCACTACAAAAGCATGATTTAAACAAGCCAATAATCGGAAAACAGCTATTAGCCAAATCGAAAAAGAGCTATTGGGCTATAAATTATTTCAGTCCATATGTTTATGGCAAAAGATTCTACGTTGTTACAGACATTAGACCTCTAATCTCACTATTTGTACATAAAAACCCATCTTCAAAGATGACTGGAATTCGAGTAGATCTCGGTCTACGATTTTGAGATTATATACAAAAAAGGGAAAATTAATACCAATGCTGATGCACTATCACGCATAAAGATAGATACTCAAACACTCACAAATCTTACACCAAAACAAGATGACGCCAAGTCCATCAAAAAACTAAACCTTCCAAATGAAGACGAATTATTGAGACATTTGAATAAAAAAGATATAAAAAAAAAATATGTGTAGCTACAAGAAGTAAATCAAAATTTGCACAAATTACGGATAACATTAAAGGAATTACAAAGCTGATTGAACCTGATCAATTCTATTGTTGAAATTGTACATCCATTAGTGATATACGCAGAGTAAACAGATTACAATTTGTATACAATGCTAAGCTTAGAAAGCAATTTAAAATAGGTACCATACACGTTACGAAAAACGATGTAATTGTGGTAATGAGTGAAGAACCTACGAAGCCGATTTCGATGGTGAAACTCATTGCAGATATTGAAAAGTTAAGAATTTATGAACTAGCGCTAGATAAAAATGATAAAATATTTAAAACTAGTGAAAAAGAAAACTTTAAGAACATGGTTAACCAAATACAACAAAGTAAAACAGGTGGTAATCGTCTCAAAATATTATTATACGAAGCACCGGAGCACATATCCGATAGCATAAAGCAATACAGACTCATAGAGGAATATCACAACACTCCTCTCGGTGGACACCAAGGAATAAGAAAAACATTATTAAGATTAAAACAGAAATATACATGGCGTAAAATGAAACAAATGATATACAAATATATAATTACTTGCGAGATGTCAACGAAATAAACAAATAAGGCACACAAAGGAAGAACTACAATTAACTTCTACTAGAAATTAGTGCTGTTCACATTATTCGAAGTTTTTAAAAAACCGAAGTTCTTCGATTATTCGAAAAACTTCGAAGTTTTTGTAAAAGGTGAAGTGCGAGCGCAAAATGTAAACAAACGTGCATCACACAAATTATTTGAGGGATGTTTAATCTTGAACATGAATTATGACCCCCGGCAGAATGTTCAATCATGAACATGAATTATTACGTTATGACCTCCGGCAGAATGTTCAATCATGAACATGAATTTATATATTTAATTATTATAGT